ACATATATATACATATATATAATAAAGAAAAAGGAAATTAAATGAAATTAAAACCCTTCCCATATTGTTAGGATTTCAGAGATGATTATGGATCCTGGGACCACCATATCGTAGATGTAAGTAAACCTTAATTGTAGGCAGAGTACTTGAAAATTATCATTTTAAAAAAATTAATTTACAAAATGATAATAAATACCTAGTGGGCTCAGAATTTATAATTGGTAACTCAGTTTTTACAATACCATCAAGTTAATTCCCCATACTCAACTATGTATTACTGTAAAAAAGCTATTGATAATTTTTCTTTCATAGATTGTATTTACTATTTTAACTTTTAAGTTTATATTTTGGTAATTTTTAAATTAATTTTATCTGTGTCTTTCTGACTATTTTCTCAAGAAATCTTTATCAAGAAGAATTACTAGGCCAATGTATCTGGACATATTTAGCTTTCTGTTTGCTTGCCTTTTTTTAACATTAGGACACTTTATCAAGTCTTTTGATAAAAACGAACATCCAATTTGAATTCATACTTTTGACTAATGAGGATGGAATATTTTCATCTACTCTGTGATGCTATTTAAATGCTTTATTTTTGTGGAAAGTTATTTTTAGTTCTTTGAGAACTTTTTAATTGAACTTTATGTTAAAAACTTGATTTCAGGGGTGCCAGAGTGGCTCAGTCCTTCAGTGTCTGCCTTCAGCTCATGTCATGATCCCAGGGTCCTGGGATAGAGGCCTGCATCAGGATCCCTGCTCAGTGGGAGGCCTGCTTCTCCCTCTCCCACTCCCCCTGCTTGTGTTCCCTCTCTTGCTGTCTCTCTCTCTGTCAAATACATAAGTAAAATCTTTAAAAAACACCTTGATTTCATAGGTTATTTTTCAATTTTGATACAAATTCTTTATCCAGTTTACAAATTTTTACTCGATTGATTTCTCATGTTTTGTGTACAATAAGTTCTGAATTGGGGGACTGAGCCAAACTTTTAGAGTTTAAAGTTACCTCTCTTTCTTTGTTTCTTTCTTTTTTGTGGGGCGAGGGAAGTATGTATATTTATCTTCCTGTTCAATAGCATGTCTTTCATTAAAATAAATGTTTATCATCTCTGTTAAGAGGCATTGATGCCTCTTTTCCACACTGACATTTTTCATATAAACAGTGCATTTTGTGCTTTTTTCTATTAGCCCATTGGCTGACAATTGCTTGAATCCTCAACTGGATTAATGTTCATACAAAACCAGAATTTTCACATTGGAAGTGACATTGAATTTGAACACATTAAATACACTTATCTGAAACATAAGGACTTTTGTTAAAGCCAAAGTAATTTAAACACCTTGCCAAAGATCCTGCAGGTGGCTGGGTACAGAATGCCCTGGGATCCCAGAGTCCTAAATCATGTCCTGACAGCAGCGAGCAGAGAGCATCTTTTTAACTTTTAAGTTTAGCTTTTTGTTTGCTTCCCTCTTTTTAACACTAGGACGTTTTACCAAGTCTTTTGACAAAAAACAAGCATCCAATTTGAATTCATACTTTTGACTAATGAAGATGGAATATTTTCATCTAATCTCTGACACTATTTGAATGCTTTATTTTTATGGAAAATTATTTTTAGTTCTTTCACAACTTTTTAATTGACCTTTATGGGGCCACAGAACATTCTTTTTTCTAGGCTTAGTTTTACAAGAAGGGTCATTTTAAACTTAGCGGAATTAATGAAATGAATACAAGTTTAATGGGTTTAGTTTAAGATAATGATATAGGAGAATGCTAAAGTCACTCGTGGAAACAATGAGTCTATGGCTACAGATGGAAGAATATTCTCCGGGAAAAAATAACTGAGCAATTCCTACACATTAAGTGAGTGAGGAAAAATGCCACACTGAAGTAAAGAGGGGAGGCAGAGAAAATCTCACCATAAATCCCACCCCCACACAATAAACCATAATTGGGAGGGAACTCAGAATGATGAGTTTTTGCCAAATGAGCAAAGGATTTGAACCCCACATCTGGTCACCCAACTGTTAAGATCTATACCGAGAGATAAGCCCTAAAAACATCTAGCTTTGGAAGCCAATGGGATTTGCATCCACAAGACCCATGGCCTATAGCAAACTGAGAAATAGTTCTTAAAACGTTCACAAGCACTCACCTACCCCATAGTAAAGACTGAAGGGGAAAATATATTCCATAAAAATGGAAATCAAAAGAATGTTGGGGGAGGTTTTACAATGGTATCCAAAGAAAAACAAAAACAAAACAAACAAAAAATTACATTAAGACAATATTGTAATAGATAAATAGGTCATTATATAGTGATTAATGGGTCAATGTAACAAGACGATATAATATTTGTAAATATTTATGCACCTAATATAGGGCTACCTAATATACCAAGGAAATATTAACAGACCTAATGGGAGAAGTACACAGCAATACAATGATAGTAGGGGGCATCAATACCCTAAATTCATCAGTGGATAGACCATCCAAACAGAAAACCAGTAAGGAACGATTAGCCTTAAATGACACATTAGAGTAGTTGGACTTGACCCACATATACAGAGCATTCCCTGCAAAAACAACAGAATACAGTCTTCTCAGGGGCACAGGGGAAATTCTCTAAAATGGATCATATGTTAGGTCACGAAACAGTTCTTAATAAATTTAAGAAGATTTAAATCTTTTTTTTTAAAGATTTTATTTATTTGAGAGATAGAATGAGATAGAGAGAGAGCATGAGGGGGGGAGGGTCAGAGGGAGAAGCAGACTCCCCGCTGAGCAGGGACTCTGATGTGGGACTCGATCCCAGGATTCCAGGATCATGACCCTCACCGAAGGCAGTTGCCCAACCAACTGAGCCACCCAGGCGCCCAAGAAGATTTGAATCTTATCAAGCATCATTTCAAATTACAATGGTATGAAAATCATAGTCAATTACAAGAAGAAAAAAATAAAATTTACAAATATGTGGAGATTAAACAACATATTACTGAAAAACCAATGTTTCAAAGAGGAAATCCAAAGAGAAATTAAAAGAAAAATACTGTGAGGCAAATGAAAATGAAAATACATCATACCAAATCATAGGGGATGCAGCAAGAGCAGTTCTAAGAGGAATGATTGGCTTCTGTTAAACACATTTTATTGTAAGAGCTGGTATGATGCTATTTAAAACTTAAAAATGTCCTTTTTATGCAAATAGCATTTTAATTTAATGTACCAAATTGTTTATCTAGTTTTTATAATATGATTTAAACAGATCCTTTCTGAGATGACATTATCTAACTTTACTTAAATAATGAACAACCTGTATCATAATAAGACACTTTGTAATTAAATCACATTAAAAAGAAGATTCCAAGTAACTGTTACATGTTACTTTTTTTTAAAGATTTTAATTTAGGGGCGCCTGGGTGGCTCAGTCATTGGGCGTCTGCCTTCGGCTCGGGTCATGATCCCGGGGTCCTGGGTTCAAGCCCCACATTGGGCTCCCTGCTCAGCGGGAAGCCTGCTTCTCCCTCTCCCACTCCCCCTGTTGTGTTCCCTCTCTCGCTGTGTCTCTCTCTGTCAAATAAATAAAATCTTTAAAAAATAAAAAAATAAAGATTTTAATTTATTTGAGAGAGAGACAGCACAGCAGGGAGGGTAGAGAATCCCAGACAGACTCCATACTGAGTGCAGTGCCTGGGGTGGGGATGGATCTCCTGACCCTGAGGTCATGACCTGAGTTTAAATTAAGAGTCAGACACTTAGCTGACTGAGACACTGAGGTGCCTCCCTATTATATGTCACTTTAAAAATCTGGAACAATGAAACAGAAGGTTCAGTCACGAGAAGATGTTTGAAAAACAATTGAAATACACAGTGCAGTGGCTATAAGTCTTATCATTTAATCAATCTTATGCATTCTGGAAGAAAGACAGACTTCACCTTTACACCACTTGCACTTTACTTTGCACAGATATTTCATTATTAGTACAATTTAAGGGGAAAATCTCTTTCTGAATATAGATTTCACTTTGGATCAAATAATTGTTTGTAGCAATAAGTGCTTACTCACATACCTGGAAAATCCTCAAAAATCCTTAATTCACATTCAAAGAACTAAAAAAGAAGAAGAACAACAACAACAAAAGGAGCCAAAAGGGTGTACTAAGAAGGAAATGACAAAGATCAAAGCAGAAATAAATACAATAGAAACAAAAAAGACAATAGAACAGATCAATAAAACTAAGATGTGATTCTTTGAAAAGCCAATCAAAATTGACAAAATTACCTGGTCTCACTAAAAAAAAAAATCGAGACAATTCAAATGAGTAAAGTCAGAAATGAAGAGGTAGATGTTACAACCATTACCACAGAGATACAAAGGATAACAGGAGCTACGGGGAACAATTTTATGCCAACAAATTGCACAATATAGAAAAAAGGGATAAAGTTTTAGAAATGTACAGCCAACTGAGACTAAATCATAAAGAATAGAAAATCTGAACACACAGTTTAACAGTAAGGAGATTAAATTGGTAATAAACAAAACTTTCAACAAACAAAAGTGCAAGTTCAGATGGCTTCAACACTGCTGAATTCTTCCAAAAATTCAAGAAGAATTTAAAACAATATTTCTCAAACTACTCCAAAAAATAGAAAAGGTGGGAATACTTCTAATCTCACTTCATGAGCACAACATTACCATTATACTAAAATCAGACAGGGATGTCAAGAGAGAAGAAAATTAGAGGCCAATATCCCTGATAAATACATAGATGTAAAAACCCTCAAAAATTATCAAAATAAATTGAACAATACCTAAAGATGATTATACATGATGATCAAGTTGGGTTTATTTCAGGGATTCAATGATGGCTCAACATAGACAAATCAAACAAGGTAATACCCCATGTTAATAAATTAATGATAACAATCATATGAAAATCTTATTGGATGGAAAAAAAACACATTTGGCAAAATTCAGCATTCTTTCATGATAGAAAATCTCAATAAAGCATGTATAGAGGTAATGTACCTGAACATCATAAAGTCCATTTATGAAAACTCCACAGCTAACATTATATTTAAGTGTGAAAAGCTACAAAATTTTCCTCTAAGATAAGAAAATGACCATATTGCCCCCTCATGCTACTTTTATTCAACATTTTATTAGAATGTTTTATTCAAGGAACTGAGCATGAAAAAGAAAGAATAAAAGGCATCCATATTAGAAAAGATAATGAAAAACTGTCACTATTTGCAGTTTCAAGGTGCCACCAAGAAACTATTAGAACTAATGCATAAACAGTAAATTTTCAGGATACAAAATTTTCTGCATAATGCTGGTGTGTTTTTAATAATGATAATGAGCCCTCAGAAGAAAAAAAACAAAGAACAACTGCATTTACAATTGCTTCAAAAAAGTAAAACACCTAGGGGCAAATTGAACGAAGAAGGTAAAAGACCTGTACTTCAGGTGTTACAAAATGATAAATGGAATTGAACACACAAATGAAGGGAAAGATATACCATGTTCATGGATTAAAACAATTAACATTTTTAAAATATCCATACTACTGAAAGCAATCTACAGAGTCAGTGCAATCTTTATCAAAATTTCAGTGGTATTTTTCACAGATATAGAAAAAAAGAATCCTAAAATTTGTATGGAACCACAAAATACTCTGAATAACCAAAATGATCACAATTAAAAAAAAAAAGCTGAGATATTATCTTTCCCAATTTCCAATTTATTACAAAGCTATATTAATTTTAAAAGCTTGATATTGGCTTGTAAACAGGTACAAACTCAATGGAATTGGAGACAGAGCCCAGATATAAACCCATGCATATATAGTGAAGACTTTCTTTTTTTTTTTTTTTAAAGATTTCATTTATTTATTTGACAGAGAGTGAACACAAGCAGAGAGAGAGGCAGGCAGAGGGAGAGGGAGAAGCAGGCCTCTTGCTGAGCAGGGAGCCCAACTTGGCGCTCAGTCCCAGGACCCTGGGATCATGACCCGAGCCGAAGGCAGTTGCTTAATGATCTGAGCCACCCAGGTGCCCCGAGGACAACATTTTCAATAAATGGTGCTTGAAATACTGAACACCCACGTTAAAAGAATAAATGTGGATCACTATCTTATACCATATGCAAATATTAACTCAAAAAAGGCTTAAAGACTTGAATGTAAGAGCGGAAACAATAAAACTCCAAAAGAACACATAGGTCATAAGCTCCTTGACATTGGACTTGGCAATGATTTTTTTTATTTGACATCAAAAACAAGATAACAAAAGCAAAAATAAATAAGTGGAGCTGTATCAAACTGAAACGTTCTGTACAAAAAAGGAAATCATCAACAAAAATGAAAAAGTAATGTACCAAATAGGAAACAATATTTTCAAATTGCATATCTGTTAAGGGGCTGATATCCTATATATATATATATAAACACAAAACATTCAATGCCCCCCCAAAAAAATCCAATTAAAAAATGGGCAGAAGAAGAATAGACATTTTTCCACAGAAAACACAGGGGGTCAACAAGTACATAAAACTATGGTTAACATTGCTAATCAGCAGGGAAATGTAAATCAAAACCACAATGAGACAGTACCTCACACCTATTAAAATAGCTATTATAAAAAAAGAAGAAAGAAGAAAGAAAGAAAGAAAGAAAGAAAGAAAGAAGAAAGAAAGAAAGAAAAAGAAAGAAAGAAGAAAGAAAGAAAGAAAGAAAGAAGAAAGAAAGAAAGAAAGAAAGAAAGAAAGAAAGAAAGAAAGAAAGAAAGAAAGAAAAAAGAAAGAAAGAAAGTGTTGATGAGGTTGAGGAGAAAAGTGCACCTTTGCACAATATTAGTGGGAATGTAAATTGGTGTAGCCATTATGGAAAACAATATCGATTCCACCAAAAAAAAAAAAAGAGTACCCTGTGATCCAGCAATTCTACTTATGTGTAGTTATCCAAAAGAAATTAAAACATTAACTCAAAATGATATATGCACTCCCATGCTGCACTGTTTGTTGCAGCATTATTTACAGTATCCAAGACATAAGCAACTCAGTTGTCTATTGATAGATAAATGGTCAAAGAAAATGTGTTATATATAAACAGTGGAATATTATTCAGTCGTAAAGGAAATCTTGCCATTTGTAACAACATGGATGGAACTCAGAGCATTATGCTCAGTGAAATAAATCAGAAACAAATAGCATATCATGTCACTTATGAATGAAATCTAAACAAACAAACAAAAAGACCTATGAACTTGTAAATATAGAGAACAAATTGGTGGTCACTAGAGGTGGAACTGGGGTGGTGGCTGAAATGGGTGACTCTGATCCAAAGGTACACACTTCTAGTTAAAACATAAATAAGTTCTGGGGATATAATGTGCAACATAGGGATCATAGTTAATAATGTATTATGACTGAATGTTGTTAAGTGTGTACATTTTGAAAATTCTCATCAAAAGAAAAAATTGTAATTATGTGTGCTGATGGATATTAACTAAACTTATTGTGGTGGTCAATTTGCTATCTATATACCAAAATATTATGTTGCACATCTGAAACTTATGTCATAATATGTCAATTATTCTCAATTAAAGACCGTAATTTATAGCATCTTCATATTGTTTACATTTTACAAATAATTTTTTCTAATTGAATTATTTTATCATCACAAAGATTTTGAGAAATTAGGGATCATGTACTTTAGGAGAAGATGGCTGAGTTCCAGACATTTTCGGATATTACATAAACACAAATCAAAATTAAAATAAAAAGGGAAACATATTCAGAAAGGCAGAGATAAAATGACACATAAAATGAGAACAATCCTCATGTTTTCTGGTCCAGGAAATGGGAAAAGAGCTGAAGCCCTGGGAACACTCTGTGGAATAAAATGATTACTGAGCTAGGCTCCAGTGTAAAGGCAAGCATGGCTGTTTCTCCTTCCCACTCACCTGCAACTCTCCAGGGAAGGGGGACTGAGAGCTGAAGGGTGCTGATGCCCAAGCACAAGGGCTGTACTCCAGGCCATGTTCTCAGGGGTGTAGGGTTAGACCTCTCTGCCCTGATGCTCATGGGTCACAATCTTGTTGCCAGAAATGCTGTTAAAATTGTTGTTCAGTAGAAACTGGCTCACCAGTTTTTCAGCTCCCAGTATCTCAAGAATGAAAGTAAGGAGCAAGAGGACTATGCAAACTGACCTATTCTTTTATGTAACAAATTTCCAAATAGAGAAGAAAGAAACATAAAACACAGTTACAGATCATAAGATGAAGCAAACATCTCATACAACAAAGAACACTGTGTTAGTAAACTCTTTTTCAAACTTGACTCTCTGATTCAGGGTTTCATTTTCTTTCTTAATTATGTTAAGAATTGTAACTAAGAATGGTGGACAGAATGAGGGGAATAATTTCTCAGTGGATGATTTATTGTCCTGAGAAAAGGACATTTATACACATGAACACCATTTTGTCCTAAGAGAGGGTTGGATGGATAGTAATTATCAGATAAATTCATTTTTTAGCATATTTCTATATTAAACTGGAACAAATGGTAAAAGTATGTTGACATACACTACCTTTGATGTTAGCCCAGGTAGTTAAGATCTGGGACTAGAGGGTGTCTCAGTTCTCACAGGCTATTGGTCTAAAAGATTTTATGAAAAACAAAATGAGACAGCACCATGAAAAATGAGAAGGAAGTATTTTCTTTTTTCTGATTCACAGTTGATATAACTCTTAAGAAAGGTGATTTTTTTTTATTAAGTGAAAGTCTTGAACTTTAAGTACCTTTAGCATATTTGGGCAGAACCTAGTAAAAATATATGTTTTAAAAAGTAAAAACTAATAGTCTACTTTATTGTTGTGGGTTAAGAATCATTTATATATCTGATACAAGGGTGATAGAGCTAGAGTTCTGGAAAATATCTAATCAGATATCCACAAGAATCAGAAACAAAGGGTACATATGGTATGAATCCATATAAAAATGACATTTTGGAAAGGCTATTCTTGTCCATAGGAAAGGTAACGGAGAAGTCAGAACAGTGGATGAGGGAGTCACAAGGGAGGGGATTGACTACAGAGGAGCAGGGAACATCTGTGAATCAAATTATTATATTTTTCAGGAAAAGAAGAGGCAAATACTCATTTGGTCAATGAGAATTATAGCACATGTAACTGAGAATAGGTTATTATGCAAATAGTGAGGTTTTCAAATCCCTACAAATAAAGAAAAATGCAAGCAGGCTAATAGAAATATTATCAGAAGGCATAAAAAAACACAACATAAAAGGACACCCAAATATTAAAGAGGACAATCACACTGGTAATTAGGAAAATGTGCTATCACTTTGTAGGCACAAGTTTGACACTCTCTTCCAAAACTGAACCACAAACAAACCACAAACAAACATAAAAAATTGCAAGGTTGTGATGCAATTGTCACATTTCTAGACTGATGAGGAGAGTATAGAATAATGAGGGGGCTCTGGAAAGTCTTAGTGCAGCTTTAAGCTTACTAACTTTAAAAGTATATATGACATAAACTAAGGAAATGTTTTGAAATGATAAAAATTATAATTATTTAACTTTTGAATAATTATTTAGTCTTGTGAATTTTGAATAACTTTTTTTAACATTTTATATTTATGTATTTTTCAAAAATCAGTCCTTGAAGAAGGAATCAGGTATTAGTTTCTTATAAGGGGAACATTCTCATGGAGATACTGAAAGGCCAAGTCGGTCCACTTCATTTCTTGTTCTTTAACAGATTCTGTGGTGCCACCGTTGTCCTGTTCAGGTTCAGGAAGCTCATTCTTTAACCCACCATCCTTGGCACATATACAGTTTACCTGTGGTATTGCAACATCCTCATAGGGCAGCTTGTCTTCTCGCCAAGCATCGTCAATCAAGTCCAAGATCCTTCCATCTCTCTGTACCTCACTGTCCATTCTCCTGCAGCTTTGATCTTGTCAGATCTGGGCCGGACCCAGGGCTGCACCCGCCTCCACAAGGCTCCCTCTCAGCATCACGTGACCCTTGAATAACTTTCTGATTTGTTTTTGTTTTAATACCCCTGGTTGCAGACGGCGAAAATACTTTGCAATGGTAATATGTAAGGAGAAGATTAGCATAGTGATCAAGATGGCAGATACCTCTCAGGAAGGAGAAAATTGTTCAGAACAGAAGAGGGGTACAATAGTATTCATTGTATTGATATCTGTATACATCTTAATCACGTTTACAAGCTGTCTTTTAAAATTACTAAAATATATAGTTAAAAAAAAAAGAACTGTCAGTGTTGGTGAAAAACGTTGCCATGACTGCAGCTGAAAGTGACACATAAAGAGGAACATTTTAGGTATTGGGGAGAATTTGGTGGTAAGATTATCTCCCAGCCTTAATGTCTGGGAAAACCTTTAATACATAATCACATGAGCTGTGTGGGTGGGCTTTGTCATTATTGTTTCAGTATTCAGCAACTGTCCAGTAATATTCTGGATGAAATGGAAACTAACTGTGTCTTGAGATCATTATTCTTGCTTTTAATCTCCTCCTCACAGCCCTAGGCAAATTGAGAGCTGCTGTACATAAGGAACTTTCTGGAGCCTCCCATAGAAAAGGAAACGGGGTAGAATAAACCTCTCAGTTTAACCAACTGTGAATTATTTTTAACTACTTAAGTAATCTGACAGGCACAGATAGGTCAAATGCCATTAGTCAATGTGAATATTTGTGAGAATTCATGATAATGGGCCTGTTCTATAGTTGAAAATAAAAATCATATGCAATATAGGCTTAAGTCTTTAATCAGTTAGCTTTAAATTTTCAAACATAGTTAACATACAGTGTTATATTAGTTTCAGATGTCTTATCAGTTTTGAAAATGACTGAAAAATTAAAAACAATAAGAATGTGTAAAATAGGTATCAAAAGAAGAAATATTCATTGGAAGGAAATATATTGTGTTTACTTAATGAAAAGAGATGAAAGTCATAGTATCAGCTATAATGCAAGCAGCTAAAAATATATTAAGCACTACTATCATATGTTAATTGAAAAGGGATTTGTATTCCAAAATGTCTTCACAGGTATATGCTAATTTCCTAATCCCTAAATCAGCAAAGAAGTCAAACTCTCACTCTTTGCAGATGATATGATAATTTATGTAAAAAAGCCAAAAGACTCCAAAACTGCTAGAACTCATACAGAAATTCAGTAAAGTGGCAGGATATAAAACCAATGCACAGAAATCAGTGGCATTCCCATACAGCAACAACAAGACAGAAGAGAGACAAATGAAGGAGTTGATCCCATTTACAATTGCACCCAAAACTATAAGATACCTAGGAATAAATCTAACCAAAAAGGCAAAGAATCTGTACTCAGATAACTATAAAATACTCATGAAAGAAATTGAGGAAGACACAAAGAAATGGAAAAATGTTCCATGCTCATGGATTGGAAGAACAAATATTGTGAAGATGTCAATGCTACCTAGAGCAATCTACACATTTAATGCAATCCTTATCAAAATACCATCAACTTTTTTCAAAGAAATGTAGCAAATAATCCTAAAATTTGAATGGAACCAGAAAAGACCCCGAATAGCCAGAGGAATGTTGAAAAAGAAAAGCAAAGCTGGTGGCATCACAATTCCGGACTTCAAGCTCTATTACAAAGCTGTCATCATCAAGACAGT